TTTTTTTTTTTGCCTTTTCAGCTGCAGAACAGTTTGGATAAAAAGGAGAGGAAGAAGAAGAAGGAGAAGAAGAAGAAGCACAAGAAACATCGACGGCGCAGCTCCAGCAGCGACAGCTCCAGCTCTGAGCACGGCAGGGCCAGGAACAGGTGAGATTCCCATTTGGATGGAAATTTTACTTTCATTTCCTGCTCCTTCTTGCTGAATTTTGGCCTCCTAATTAATGCCTTTAATTAATATTTCACTCAGTGTGTTGGCTCGCATCGTTAAGGCGTGATAGGAGGAGTTTAAGGGTAAAAAAATGGATTTATTCTCGTTATTTATTTGATTCAACAAGGATTTGTTTTCTTTTTTTTAGGTCTCAGAAAAGAGTGGAGAGCTCCTCCTGCAAGGCTGCTCCTTCCAAAATCCCAGGATATGGATTACAGGTACACATGGGACAGGGAAAAGCAGGAATTTGGGAAAAAAAAAACCCAGATTGTTCCTTCCAAAATCCCAGGATGTGGTTACAGGTACATGTGGGACAGGGAAAAGCAGGAATTTGGGAAAAAAACCCAGATTGTTCCTTCCAAAATCCCAGGATATGGATTACAGGTATACATGGGACAGGGAAAAGCAGGAATTTGGGAATTGCTGCAGGAGCCAGGACAGGAATAAATAAATTTTAGATTCAATTTGGAGCCATCTAAGCCTTGAAATTCAGATTATTCAGAGATTGATTCAGTGGAATTTGCTTGGAAATCAGGGTGAGGTTTGTTCAAATGTTCCTGATTATCCATGGAATGATGGAATGGTTGGGAAGGGACATCAAAACCTTTCCAAAGGACATCAGATTCCTTCCAAAATCCCAGGATGTGGTTACAGGGACACCTGGGACAGGGAAAAGCAGGAATTTGGGAATTGCTGAGTAGCCAGAACAGGAATAAATAAATTTTGGGTTCAGTTTGGAGCCATCTGAGCCTTGAATTTGTTTTTCTCTCCAGGAATGGGTTGCTGTGGTGGCTGCCTTCATCATTACAGTTTTTCCTTGTGGGAATTTACAAACTGCTTCCAGCTTAGGGGCTAAACCAGATTTTATAGGGCATTACTTTTATAGTGTGGAAATGGAAT